AACTGAAAATGTTAATAGATAATGTACATGTATAATCAATATCTCACAACCTTGTCTTAATAGGGGACTTTTCAGGTCACAGAATGTGGACACAGTATGCTGGACCGCAGAGAGTCTTAGACAACATTGCTTACGTCAGTAACCAAACTCATTTAAGATTTTCAGACATTCCTGTGTTTCCTGTGGTTGGAAATAATGACCTGCCTGGACACTACGTCTTACCAAACTCAACCAGTGACTGGTACAAGAAGCTTTTGTCGTACTGGGAACCCCTGATTCTGTGTTCCGGGTGTCCTGGCAGTGTTAAGCAGCCAACAACTCAGGCGGTGTTGGAGAAAAGTTTTTTGGAGGGTGGATACTATAAAGTCAGCATTGCAGGTAATTATCTCACGTGATGAGCCCACAGACTTCTCACCTCCCTTCAGGTGGCAGTGTCTTAACTACTTCAAAAAGATCTGATCTGAGTGTCTCATCACAGGCATCCCGAGGGGTCCCCTCACAGGTGTCCCAGGGTCACTTTTGCCAAACCAATTTGTGCAAGACAGAGGCAAAATGTATTATGGGAAATTCATGATTAGAATAAAATACAGTCGTGGCAGTTGCCTTAAATAGGAATCACTTTAATGCTCTATTCTCATGTCCATTTGTACTGCTGCTACAGTAGTTCTTAAATAAGACCAGTTTCAAGTGATTTTTAGGAGTTGCTTACAAGTTCTTATTTGGAAAACGTGTTGCATCACTAAAACCTGGCAACTCACATCTATGCAAAAATTGCATTAATCAGCCTAAAGAATTCAGGAATGATAACAAATTCAGGGCAAGGTGATTAGGTAACTTGGTTTTCCTCCTAAAAGCTTTCATATTTCAAAACAAAATGTTGTTAATTTCATGAATGTCACTCTTCTCTTACAAAATGAAGTTGGGAGCCTGTGGTCTGATTGGTTTTCTGAATAAGGGTTTTTCTAATGGGTTCTGTTGGACTTGATATATGAAAATAAGTCCAAGAAGTGCTGGCAGTGACTTAATACGGCATTGTGTGTCAGTGATGGAAATCTAAGCTGGAAGAAAATCTTGTACCGGTAGTTAAAATGGGGGCTGGTGTACTAACTTTGATTTTTCTCTATTGTTTTAAGGTGGGAAAATGGTTCTGTTAGTGTTAAACAGCTTGTACTGGTCTGCATATGTTGGCGGTAGTGCGGACATTGTTGGTAAGGCAAAAAGACAATTAGAGTGGTTAGAAACTCAACTAGAACTTGCCAAAAGCCAAGGACAAAAGGTGATGTTAGCTGGCCACATTCCTGCAGGGTATGTAGTAAATAAGTACATGTACTGCACGTACATTGTATTACAAAGCTGCAAATAAGTATAATTTACAATATTTAGAGTGGAAGCTGCATCAGCCTTGGCTGGTTCATGAAGGCTCCCTAAGTAGGTCAAATTGGATTTTTTTTTTCAATAATTTTAATTTACAAAACACATGATGACATATTAAATTACCTTACAATACAGGTCTCTTATACCAGTGGCTTTACAATACTCTACTTACAGAACAACCCTTACATTAAAAATTGGAATTTGGAAATGTTGGTTTCATGAGGAAAGATAAAAATCAGATTACCCAGAGAAAAACCCTCATAGGTTGGCAAGAACTAAGAATAAACTCAGCCCACATGCTAGTATGTGGCATTAGGCTGGAATCAAACGCAGGCCACATTGGTGGGAGGCAGGCGCCCTGAACAGTACACCATCCCTGCCCCCTGTCATATTATAAAACATTCATAAGGGGTTTTGAGTACGCTTCTTAGGGACGGACCATTATTATTATTGTTATTATTATTTTTTGGAGGGGGNGTTGAGATGGGGTGGGGTTGGGCAATTTCCAAAAAGAAATTCCTGCACAGCCAAAACGGCTTTAAAAAAATGGTGCAAGGGGAGTCATGGGGTAAAATCAAGGCATGGTTTCTACTATCCAGGTCTTATATTTGGTGCAGTGGCTCCTGATTTGGTGTTAAAAAAATTCTTGGACAAGCTATTTCCCATCAAAAAAAGAAAACGGTGAAAAAAAAAATTCATGCTGCAGAAACCCCCCCCCCC